TAATTCAGGTTTTAAAGGTATATTTATCTGCAATATCTTTCCCATCTCATTTGGGAAAGGGAAACAAATGAATTATTTGTGCATACACAGTGCATCTATGCAGGTGCAGGATAACCTATTTATGTGAATTCAGAGATGACCACTCAAAGAACTACAGTTTTAGGGCCCAAACAGATGGCCCTTTTAAGCCAGTGTCTGGGTGGCTTTGGAGCGTGGTGTTTAGATGCCGCATGGCATGAAGCTGCCTGGAAATAGGGCGGCTGCCCAGATGTGGGCAGCTTCAAGGTGCTCTGGTGGTGTGTTTACAGCAGGAAAAGGTGGCTTTTCGCCAGCCGAAAAAGAGGATCTTTGCCGCTCCTTTTTTGGCAGGCTTCAAAGTGGATTGGGACCGTGGCGTGTGTTCACTGCAGCTTCAATTAGTCTTCAGGAGAACGGCTTCAAACCGGTCCTTCCTGCCAGTGTTTCCCCCCTTAGATAGGCAACCTGCCCTTCCCGAAGAGATGTAAAAGCCTGAACAGGCTTGTATGAAAAAATAAATCCTCTATATGGCTGGGATTCAGACTGTTTGGCTTAATACTGTTATCTTAGAAATTCTTTATGATGCTTATATGAAATACAGTAGAATCAATATTTGCTCTTTGTCACAGGTGTAATAGAAAAAAAGCACTGCAATGAAAACACAGTACCCCACATTTAACAGTTTGTATGTAGAAAAATTAAAAAGTTAGCTTTCAAAAAAATCACATACCTTCATAAATTGTACTTCAGTATACCGTAATTCAGGTTCTAGCTCTGCAAATAAAATTAATATTTTTTTTGTCCTCCAGTTTATTTATTATCTGAGGTAAATGTTTACTTCTGAAGCACTCTCATAATACAGAGGACTCATTAGTGAAAGAGAAACAGTGTATTAAAACACTAATAATCAATTGATTGGGAAAAAACATTTATAAAAATCATAGTAGGGGCAGCACCATACTTGGGTAAGCAGAAACAAGTAATTAGGCATTATTTGGTTTTCTTCAGCACTCCATTATAACCCAGCAATACGTCTCCAGAGAGGCATACTTTCCAAAGGTAAACAAGGAGGGGGGGGGGGCACACTGCTTCAAGTGGAAGAAACTCTTTGTTACAAAGATAAGCAATTAGAAACATAGGTACGGTCTTGCTATTTTTTATTCTGCACGGTATTGCACCTTCCTAAAACTTGTTTCTGTAAGTCCAACAATTTTGCATACAGCTTCTCAGCCATGTCTTCACTGACATCCATCTTACAGAGCTCAATGTAGTTCTTTCCAAAAACTTGAGGTACAGCTGTGGCATTTCACTAGTGGGTCCAGTGTTTCAGGCTTCTGCTTGATTAACCAAATCTGACCTTCTGCTCCATTGTTGTATGGCGTCAGTGTATACGTGGGAGTAAAAAGACGCAACAACCACA